AAAGACAAGGTATAAACGGTTCAAGGATGGTCGCACTTCTGTCGATAGTGATTCTCGTTCCGGCCGACTTTCGACGATAAAAACCGCAGATAATATTGAGCGGGTGCGACTTGCAATCGAACAAGATCGTCGTATGACTATGCGAGAACTAGAAGAAGACCTTGGATATCAAAAACTGTTGATTGTTTTTTTCAATTGTGAAGGTGTTGTACATCACGAATATGCACCAATAGCTCAGACAATCAAAAAAGAATACTACGTTCAAATTTTGAAACGTTTGCTTGATGCAGTAAGAAGAAAACGGCCGCATTTTTGGGAATGTGGTGACTGGCTTCTCCATCACGATAATGCGCCAGCGCATTTATCCAATCTTGTGCAACAGTTTTTGAGCAAACACAATATTGCATTGCTTCGACAACCTCCATACAGCCCTGACATAGCCCCTTGTGACTTTTGGCTGTTTCCAAAACTAAAAAAATCACTCAAAGGACACCGATTCGATGACAAAACAATTGTTGAAAACAATGCGACGAGTGTACTTAAGGATATTCCTAAAAGTGAATTCCACGACTGTTTTGAAAAGTGGAAACATCGATGGAACCATGTTATTCAATCAAGTGGGGATTACTTTGAAGGATGCCACCCACCAGATGATAAAGAATAACGCTAGCACGAAAATATAAAGGTAGGCCCGATACTTTCCGGACAGACCTCGTATATGTTTAGTCACAGCACCAGCTCGGCGCTAGTGAATTTTAACAAAAAATATAAAGCCAAATTTTGTCCACCTTGCCGCATAGTGGCAAGTGTTCGATTCCGATCTCTCTACATATATCGTCAAGCGTGTAAACACTACTCGTATGTCACGAAAACGGAGTTCGAGTCGCATAAGGTCATCTCTGGATACCAAAACCGTAAAGTGTTGCGGACCCATTGATTTTGTAGGAGAAACATTTACCTTACTAATTAGGACCATCACCTAAAACCAGCAATCTGAGGACCTTCGACTATATCGGGACATCTTATGGTGACATTGAAATTCTCAACCTTTTCTTCTGGATCCCTATTAATTCAAATCGGGATCACAATTTAATGGAGAGCCAGGGTTCTTACTTGAAAGACTTTGAAGGACTCGACACTAATGCGGGATGTAGGACCCTTAAAGTCGCCTTACGCAGACCTAGGATATAAGCGGGACCATAACTCCTCTACTTATCATATTGTTTTTTCATATAATTTTTACTTCTTTTGACCTTCTATTCAAACTTTCCTCTAATCATTTTGTACCATTTCTTTATTGATAAAGTGGACCATGATTATTACCAATATAAATGTGTAATGCGGTACATTACAAGGCCTTTCCTGAGTGCTGCATTATTTGCAACACCTCAGAAAGGCCATCCCCGTCCCTTGCCGCCCCGTAACCGGTTGAATTAAATAAAAATAAACGCGCCCTATACAGAACAATTACTCTTTTTTATGTCCGAACAACCACGCCGGAGATATGGATGAAACAAACTTGTCAAACGCGATCCGACGGACGCTCAAAGAGCAGACAGAAAAAAAAAGGAGCGTACCACAGAAAAAGAGAGCGCACGCACACACTCACTCACATACACTCCCGACCACGTGTTGCCGACCGGCGAAAGAGAAATGCAAAACTTGACTGGGAAATGCAACGAAAATGCATGTTGATGACACATGCAGATCCGTTACACTCCCCGACACCCACACTAACACTCACGAGGCACTGACATTCCTGGGGCGAGCAGAAAATCGCCGATGAAGTGGCAGCCGGCAATCAGCTGTGTCGGGCTGCCGAACACCATCGGCGACATCCTGAGCGCCACACACAAGAAATTCAGCAACCACACACACAAACACCCGGGAGAACATCACTGAAGCGACACGGGAGCGCCCCAGGAGGCGCTCCAACAACCGACACAAGGACACGGCCATCTTGAAGCGCCGAGACAGACTGAGAGCGAGCGAGCGAGACGGACTGAGAGCGAGCGAGCGAAACGGACTGAGAGCGAGCGAGCGAGACAGACTGAGACAGAGCGAGCGAGACAGAGCGAGCGAAATAGACTAAACAAGAGCGAGCGAGACAGACGATACAAAATGATAAATAGAATAATATGCAAACGCGAAGATGAGGGCGCTACAAATGAAACGGCGTATATTATATACGTATCTATGACAATAAAATTAAAATTATAATTGGAAAATAATGAGCGTGGAATAAATACCGAATTGTAAAATTCGCACGCGACCGACACCCCTATTATGATAGCGAGCGACAACTACCCCCTTTAGTTTTAAATAATAATTTAACTGACCGAATTCGAACCTCTGACAAAATTCGCTAGTGACGTCACGACCAATGAGCAAATTAGAATAAAATTTGATTTCCGTTCGGATAGACAAATAGATAAGAGTAGGGGTAGATCTTTTCCAACAACTAACGATAGCTACCTTAGTGGGGGGGGTGAGAGAGGGTAAATAACGACGAAAGTAGGAGAACTAAGGAGGGCGCTGTATCCTTCTAATTTACATACGGACCAATAATAAAATATTCGGAGGGCGCTACCGATATCCGAATTAGCATACCGATCAATAATAACATTTCTTCTCGGAAAGAGGAGAAGAAAAGCGATCTTTGACCGCGAGAAGCCGATTCTCGTCCATTTTGCCACTGGATCTCTCGATAGAAGGAGCCTCTATCAGATAATTTTGCTGCAGAATTATTAGCGCTAGACGCCTTCCAGATTCTTTTTGCCAATTTTGTTTGCTAATACCGCAAGGAAAAATTGTAAGTAGGCAAAGTGCTATTCACTTTTATTTAATCGCGGAGTGCGGGAATAAATCGCTCAGTGCCGTAGGTCGTCGCGACGCGTGGATCTGTCGACGTCGGTGCCTATCGAATCGCGCTGACCTGTCCGCCATTCCGTATATTTTAAAGTGAGTGTTAGATGTTACGAATAAAAATTGCGATTTAGGATTCGGGCTGACCTGTCGTTAACTATTTATTATGAACGTAGGTTTAACCGAATCAAATTGTCTTGATTATTTAGTTGTGTTGATCTTCCCGCCATTTAGCAAACCGGACGTGAGCGTTAGGTTTTACGAAAGAAAGATTGTGGTTTAGGATTCGCACTGACCTTTCGTTAGCTATTTATTACGAACGTAGGTTTAACCGAATAAAATTTGTCTTGATTAGTTATTTGTGTTGACCTTCCCGCCATTTCGCAAACCGAATGTGAGCGTTAGGATTAACCAATGAAAATTGAGATCTAGGATATTCGCGCTGACTTTTCGCTGACAAATTGCCGCGAACGTAGAATTAGCCAAATAAACTCACCCTGCCTATTTAATCGCGCTGACCTTTCCGCCATTTCATGAACCGAGCGTTAGCGGTAAGATCAGACAAAGGAAATTCGCGACTGAGTTATTTGCGCTGACCCTCTCTCTTGTTAATCGAAGACCGACCGGAAAATTATTAACGTTCCGATTAATTTGTATCCTTACGGATTTATGAGTATTCAGAATTTTACCGACCATATTCACTCCGACCCCGTATGTGAGAATTATTAATGCATCAATAAAGTGATTAATTATCTTTATATATAAAATTTACTTTGATATCCTACCTCTATTGCATGCTAGTGATTTTCAGCCGCGAGCGGTTACATACGGGTATCACTAATTCGCTATATTTTCGGGTCACTCGATAGGTAACATACGCGCGAATTCGAACGTCCTCACGACCTGATTTAAGGAGTCATCACCTGAGCTGCCGGCATACCATAATTAAGGAGGAAAAATAGCGAGGAGAGTTGGACACCAAGGCCTGAAGTGAGGATACAACGCGTATCCCCCGTTTGCCCGCTCTGCGCAGTCGTCGTTAAGCAAACCGGGATACGCGATAACCCTAGTGGCCTTACCCCCGACGATCGCCGTAATCAGCCGACGGTCTGGCGCCCTAAATAATCGGGGGTAGAGCCAAACAGGCCTTGTGGCGGAAGAAACTCGGAGCGCGGTTAAAACCCCCGAAATTCCCTGCCACAAATGTACTTAATTGTTACCACGAATTACTATGTCTTGAACCTTGACCTTGCCGAGGACGGCAACGTTTCTCAGACGAGAGGGTTGTTATGTGACGGACCACATATATATATATATGTATGCGCAAAGTTTGTCTGCCAGTTGCACCGTATCAATTCCAAGACCATAGCGATAAAATGTTAAGTTCAGCAACACACGTTTGCGCGCGTTAAAAAGAGAGAGCATGGGAAAGAATGAAGGAGAAGGACCGACTACGTACTTGTCATAAAGAAATATTTGTAAAAAGAATACTTACTTGTATTAATATTTTTTTAAATAGATCAACTCATATTAATTAACATTACATTTAGATTTTAAAGTATAAAGCGGATACTTTCTGAAAATTTTTTGAATATATACTATAAGACGGTAACAAAGCAAGACATTATATGGCCCTTTGAATTATTTTGTCAAGAAAAACAATTAAAAGAAGTTTAATCGTAGGAAAAAATATTATTTTTAATTTTCTCTATTGACATTTTCATCTATATTTAACTAAATAAATTTTCAAGCCATTCGAAATCTAAAAACTATCCGTGTGAAAACCGATAAGATTATACGGACGTTTGAGAATAAAATGTTTCTATTAAATGAATTTACCGAAAAACAAAACTCATTTAAAAGAAAATCAATTTTTTATTTTTGAAATAATAAATAATGGTTATTTAGTGCACATTATAATATAGTGTCACATAGCTTTAAAAATATATTTCGGAAAAATAAGAAAGAATTAAGTGTCGAATTAAATTTTATATAAATAAATATCTCCAAATTTGATAAAATATAAACTACCATTTTTTTTGTTCCTAACTTCGATATGGAATAACCCGAACCTTCATGTTCAAAAGATTAAGCCATCTTTGACAATTTGATAAAGATTTTGTTTTACTTTGTAGGTGGCAGGATCCCACGCAGTAGTTTATGAAAGCCTCTATTCATTGGTAAGTTTTATATTAAAAAAATATACTACTTCACTTTAAAATTAATAATAATAGCAATGAAGGGGTCACTATAGGCCGTCAAAACATGACCCCTCTATTGACGTCTCGTAGGATATGTCATATTGTCAGTCGATATCCCTGGAGATGTATTCGATGTACTCTTAAGATTCTAGTGATAACTTTTTTTTTTTGGTGTAAAAGTGAGATTTAAGATTTTTCCAACTTTCAAGATAAAATTTAATACGAGAAAATTCCGAGCTGAGGAAATGTATGAATGGTTTGTAGACATTATCTACTTTTTCAGTTATACCACAACGTTCTGCTCCCACAAAAGTTTTGTTTGAAAAGAATTTGTTTAAAGAATAAAGTCATGATTATCAAAACACTGCGTAGATTACCTTAAGTGCAAGTCATAATAAAGGTTTAAAGGGCAATTTATTGTTTTTTATCACTTTTTGCTTTATATATCTTGTTTATATTATCTGAAATGGATAAACATGTCGACTATCCTACAGTAGGAATATTTTAGAAGATTTCCGCAAACGTACGCATCGTTTATAGTGCTTTCTAAAGTGATTGATATAACATAGTAAAATGGTAGATTGTCATAGTTACCAAAAAATAAATCATCATAAGAACTGTTAATGTAGATAGCGATCCAATCCATTCCAGGTTTCGTATGATGTTCACTGTTTACTATTATTGCTACTGATTTCATCCACATCCGGTGAATCTGATTTATAGGATGCATTCTAACAATGTGCATCGACTTCTTGGCAATTTTTTTAGAAATTACAGACTGTTAATCGCAAAGCTGGATTACTGAAATGAATAATAAATCCAATTTACCGTTAGAGAATGTTCTACAATTACGAGATTCGAACTAAGTCATTAACGAATAAGCATTATTGAGAGCACAATTAACATTTATACTAAATGATGAGTTTTCAAATCGTAATGTAAATAATATTTATTTTACCTCAGTCAGTTATCAAAAATCCTTATGTTCTAAAATAATAATCTTATGAGCTGTATATCTGTTCAAAACATTCCGTTTTTCTTTTCCATAAATATAAATCTTCCCAATGTTTTTTATTATTTCGCATAAAGATCTGTAGAAAGTAGGTGGCGAAATTTCTTCATTAGAATCAAGTCCGTCATAATTCTCAGTTAAATAGTTCTTTTGACATCTGTCGTTTTTAGATAATATATCGATCGTCGATTTTGCAGTTAGTATACACTGAAATCATTATTGAGCGCTACTACGGTCACTTTTTTCGGAACTGTGATATTATTAATATCTTTGAAGCGCTGAATATTGACCACGCGATCCATTTGTTCTATCTACAAATACACTACAAACTGCTGACACTTTTCTCAAAACTGACGGAGAGGCGGAAGTAAAAAACTATAAGGTTATACGGAAAGCGTACTCTAACGCTTTTCATTCCTTCATTGACAAAATCAGAACCGCTTGTCGAGATACGTAAATCTACATTATATTCTTGCATTCGGTCTAAACGATACAGTCGACAGTTTCAGCTAGTATCTCCGTGAATCTGATCTCTAAACATACGCTACCATTTTTTTTTAATTCCAATGCGTGTCCTTTACAGACATGTCGGGGGTAATGCCGAGAGCGAAGAAAGCGTAATGATTGAAAAAAATCCCTTTGAGTTATATTAATTATCTCGTTGAGATAATGTACACCCGTTCCAAAGTATAAACTATGACATTCATCGACGTAAAGCTAACTATTAGCGGTTAATGCTATTGATGGATATTGTACACTGTCGACAATACGAGGCAAATTTAGTCGCCTTAAGGGGGTCTTCTAGTTTCTCGGCTGTTTTTTTAACGGCTTTTTAATAATTTTTTACGGACAAACCATTAATATAATAAACATAATTGTTTTACATAATCTTTATTAGCATTTTATTGAGCTTTGCAAATTTTTTGAGGATAAAATATATAATAGAATCAAAGTTATAGTGGCTGACAAGAAGACATGAGGTAAAGGAGGTGCTTGTTGGTGACCAAGATTGTAGTTGTTCTGCTTATCTGAAACAGAAAAACCAAACGGCACTTTAATCTTGATATTTAAGACTTGTGATTAAACTTGAATGAATTCTAAATTACAAAAATTAATTTTTTTTTTTACTTTTGAAAATTAAATTCTATTTTTTACTTATTTTTCTCTAAGTTTTTCGCTCGTAGAAAAAAAAACTGCCGAAGCAAACATGATTATCTTAGTTCCATCGCTGGCTTATAACATACGAGGTCTGTTCAAAAAGTATCGCGAATGTTGTATGTTTTCAAGCATTATTTATTTATTCATGAATATCTATTTTATCTCCTTTAAAGTAATCCCCCTCTGATATAATGCACTTATGCCAACGTTATTTCCAATCCTCGAAGCACTTAAAAAAATCATTTTTTGTCAATCTTGTTCATCTCCACCTTCGATGCCATCTTTATCTCCTCAATCGTGGCGTAGCATCGTCCTTTCATGGGCCTCTTCAGTTAGAGAACAGGAAAAAGTCACAAGGGGTCAGGTCTGGGGAATATAATGGTTGCGGCACCATTACTGTGTTGTTTTTGGTTAAATATACGCGCAAAAGCAACGATGTGAGAGCAAGGGCGTTATCATGGTGTAAAAGCCGGTTTTTGTTCTTCCACAAATCTGGACGTTTCTGGCGGATTGTTTCGCCCTAATTGCACATAATTTGCAGGTAATATTCCTTATTGACCGTACTACCCTGTGGCATGAACTCATAATTCACCAAGTCCCTGTAATCGAAGAAAACTGTGAGCAAAACCTTCACGTTCGACCGAACTTGGCGGGCTTTTTTCGATCTTGGCTCATGTGGTAGCTTCTAATGGGATAATTGAGCTTTGGTTTCCACATCATAACCATAAACCCATGATTCATCACCAGTTGTGATCCTCTGGAGCACATTTGAGTCGTTACGGACCGAGTCCAACACCTCCTGAGCGATGTTAACGCGATGCTGTTTTTGGTCGAAATTGAGGAGTTTTGGCACGAATTCTGCGGCGACCCGACTCACGCCCAAATGATTGGTTAAAATCGAATGGCATGAGCCAATCGATATGTTTAGATCCTCAAAAACTTTTCTAACGGTGATTCGACGATTGGCCAATACTATTTTCTTTACTTTATCAATGTTTTCGTTTGTTGTTGACATGCTCGGGCGTTCGGCACGTTTTTCGTCGTTCACATCTTCTCGGCTTTCTGAGAACATTTTGTACCACCGATAAACGTTGCTTTGGTCCAAGACAGCTTCACCATATGCCACAGTCAATATTCGGAATGCGGCCGTGCACTTTATTTTGTTTTTCATGCAAAATTTGATACAGATTCTTTGATCCATTTTTTAGAATAGGCAAAAATCAAAGACGAGCTAAAACACATTCAAGCAAAACAGCTGTCAAAAATTAACTAAACACTCATAATAGCCGACCTTATCAGCATACGTAAGGGACATGAGTACCAACATAACGCTCCAAAAAATCAAAAATCAAATTTACGTAGCCCACGGAAATTCAATATTCGCAATACTTTTTGAACAGACTTCGTATTAAAGATTTCAACAAGATCAGTGCAGTAGTTTCTGAAATATTGTGGTCACCGTTTTGAAAAATAGCGTTTCAAGAAAAACGTGTTTCATAGTTCGCGCACGTGATTTATAAAAAAAATTTTATCTCACGGACAATCTGCTATGCCAGGACCATATAATAGTTCTTTCTCTTCTTCTTGGAAGTCACTCAGAGCTACTCCGTCTTCCTTTTCCGCGATTCAGGCCTATTTTACGACATCACTCGTGCGTCTTCCTGAACGATCGATCCGAGTGCTATCACACTGTTGAACGTATCCTTTAGGTTGTGGGCCAATCTTCACTCCCACCAATCAATTTGTTAGTGAGTTTTTCTGCACTTTTTCCACCAATGCCTTTATTAGATTTTTTTGTATTTCGAAGCCAAGTCCCCATCCTCTTTTCAACGTGTCCAACACCCTTTTTTTTACAACATCTTTTTAATATAGATCTGCCTTCAAAATACCGTTGAATGTTTTGCTGTCACCATCTCCTATGTATGTCGTACATCAAACTTGATGTTTATTTACCGAACGAGAAAACATTTTCACAACTGTATCTATTTCCCTCTTCTTAGAACTTCCAGTATGATTTAGAGTATAATTTCCTTCATAATCGGCGAGTCATCCTGCATATCCAATTAGATCACTATTTTTTTATTTTTCCACGAATTGCGTTTAGCACAAAAATTACTCATTGCACACGCATCAACCACTGTACAGGTGTACTTCGTAATTACAGTTGAAACTACAAATAAAAATGAAAATCCTATATTTTTCCATGTACTATCTCCAGATATGGTGAATTCATTTTTTGCTTTTCCTTGTTCTTGAAGGGCTTCCTTTTCTTCATTAAGCGCAATTGATAACACTATATCAAAAATGGCCGAAGAAGCTGAGTAAATATTTTTTAATATGGAATAGTACGTTTTCAAAGCAAAACCTTGTCCCATGTCCATCAATCCACAGAAAATTCTATAGTCTTCATAACCGATTCCCAACAAACGCATCGCGATAACTAAGCGACGATTTATTTCATAGGCTTTACCTAATCTTGGACATGAAACTTTCTTTTTTTTTGTCACATTTGTACGCTAAAGAAATTTTAAAGCCCAATCCTTGTACGTCACGTCGATGGAAAGTCACCATACTTTTGCATTCTTTACAAATAACAGCCGAAGAAATAATTGAAAATAAATCGTGAAACTTAAAATACAATACAATAAATTCTATTCAACGTTCACTTCTGAATTTTTAATTGAACAAGTTTCTTTGCTGACGCTGATATAGAGAACTTGTCATGTTCAGAAGTGTGTCGGTTGCCTACGAATTTTCGCTTTTTAGGTCAATCTTAATGAGTCGGAGCGTCTCTATTTCCTTTCTTTAA